AACGTAATTATTGTTTTGCATAACTAAAAAATTTATTAATTATATATATATATACAAATTTAAGCGAATTTTTTGTAGTAAAAACAAAAACATAAGCAAAAAAAAAAAAATAATGAACCGAACCGAGGCGATTATAATAATTTAATTAGTTTTCCTTCTTCAAATGGGACGTGAGACACGATTTATATCCTCGAAACATTGCGGTAAATATCTAAAATACAAAATTTTAAAACAAACAAATAAACACACACACACACATCCATAAACACTAAACTGATGAAGAAGTCGAACGGGCAGAACGATGAAAAAGAAAATGATTAAAATAATATTTTAATTTAAGCTTCTAAATAAAACAATTAATAATCCAATAAAAAAAAAAAAATGAAAAGCCAAAACGCTTTGAAGTGCGCATCAGTCGTAATAGGTTGAACATTCAATTCGAAATTTGTATATAAGCAATATATGTTTAGATCTTCAAAATTCTAAAACCAATCTCGACTGATCCACCTGAGTATATTCTTTACTTGTATACATATTGAACAGTTGATCGAAGAGATCTATATATATATATATTTACAGAAGATCTCTATATAAAATAGATCACGTTTTCACTTTTCTATGTGTAATAGCAGTTGCTCAGCAAGTTTCGTAAGCCCCATTTATGTATACACCTAAAGTTCTTTCTTCGCGTATATAAAACTGAAATCATATTCGGGTTTTATGTTTTCAATTGTTTATTTAAATACATAATTTGAATTTAAGATTTATACACAATACATGTAATAGTTTCCATGATTCATTTTGTCTAGGCTCTTTGCTTTCGTTGAACTTCCCGCTTTATCCTTGATGTCCTTTGATCTTCATCCATTCGTTATTCTAGGAATTTTGGTATTTGTTTACTCTGTTCTGGCATGTTTTTTTTTTATTGTTAGCTGTTACTATAATTTCTTTAATTGAACTTTGTGTTTGTGTTTTCTGTGTGTGTGTGAACGGACATTTTTTTTTGGGTTTATGCTTAAACTTGATTTATTTTTTATTAGTCGATAAAGTCGCATTAACACTGCAGTTCTTCACGCCAAATCAAATTCAAACAATTCTCTACTTCTCCTTGGGCACAAAGACGATCTTTCGGGACTTGAGCGCGGACCACTTGTGCCGCTTAATGTAATACGAGATGGCAGTCAGGAAGCCAAGAATGCCAATCACCTTGATCAGCAGCTGCTTGCGCTCATCGTGCTCCGGCTCCGATGTCCACTTGAGGAACGTGGCCACATCCTTGGCCAATTGACTTTGTGTTGGTGGTGTGCCATCCTCATACTCAATTACCTGTTCGGCAAATAATTCAAATTATTAATCGAATTGAAACCACGTTACTTAGATCTGTGCTCACCTCATTGTACAAGACCTGGGCCATGGATATGGCACCGCCAGGGAAGTACGGATTGAAGTACTGGCCCTCGCGTAGCACGACGCCAGCTGGCGCATCATGGTAGCCAGTTAATAGCGAAAAGATGTAATCCTCGCCACCCTTGCGAGCCGAAACGATGTAGCTCAAATCTGGTGGATAAGCACCGTTGTTGGCAGCACGAGCCGCTTCCTCATTGGGATACGGCGATGGGAAGTAGTCCGACAGCTTGCCGGGACGGTCAAAGTAGTTGCCGGTATCATCGGGACCGTCTCTCACCTGGATCAATTCAGACGTAAATACAAAGTTCTGTCGAAAAGTAATGAATTCTCACCGTGATCTGCTCAGCCTCGGCCTTGGCCTGTTCTTCGGTATGGCTGACGCCAACCAGATTGCGGTAGGCAATATATTGCATCGAGTGGCAAGCAGAGCACACCTGCTTGTACACCTCATAGCCGCGACGAATGCTGCAGATCGTAACCAATCAATTGATCTATGCACTTACACTTTAGCTATATTTGAATTACGCACCTCTGGTGATCCAGCGAGGAGAACAGACCCCTATGGGACCAGGGCTGAGCGGGTGCGTGCACTTCAGTGCCAGAAGCCTCCACCGATTGCTCCAGAGCAAACAACAGAGCACCAACGCCGCCGGTAACAGCGCCGATGGCACCGATCAGCTGTTCGCGACACGCACACAACAAGCATCGAGCGTCGAGCGTTGATCGTTGGTTGAAATGAAAAAAATAAGTAAGCGCAAATTTGAGGTTAGGTCCGTTCGGGTATTATGAAATGGTCGGTGTCCATTTGGTGACTTGTGATTACCTTTTTGTTGTTGCTTGCCCAGCTTGAAGCGGAGGACAGGTTCTTGGCCTGTGAAAAAAGAGAGTATTGATTAGATTTAACAGCTCTGCAAAAAACTGCACGTATGGGTTTTTGCACGGAGTTACATAATTGTGGGTCGAGTGTAATCTACCGTTTTTGGGCCAATCAATACCATACACTTCGATATGGACATTGGATGCAAAATTAATGTTGTAATGATAGTGAGCTGGATGGATTGTTGAGCGCGTTACGGAAAATTTTCTTTCGTGATGCTTATTGGATGGGCGGGTGGCCGAGTGTTTTACCTGTTGCAGATTCAAAGCTGGCGTAGATTTTAGCAATCTCAAGCCATTGAATCTTCGCAATGTCGCTGCCATTCTGGCCGGAGTTCAATTTTATGCGTCTGGTCGTGTAAGGAAACTTAAAGGGCAGCGCGAATCTATCTATTCCACTGGCACGGAGTCGCTCGCTTCTCGCTGGCAGATGTTTACTCGCTGCTGCTCAGTCGTTGAATTTAACAGAAATTACTCCTCTTCAGGTAACAAATGTGCTCCTCCGTGTGTGCACCCACGCAGGTTACAGCTTTGCTCCACATTTAACATAAGTAAATCTGTTGTAGCTAACATACAATTTGTGGGATTTACCTATTGTTAACTCTTTTATTGCTCATCTCTTAACAGTAGCTGCTCCACGGTTAACATAGCGTACCTTTGACCTGAAGTGTATTCGCTGATATTTAACAGAAAGTGTACGATATGGCTACTCGTCACATGACAACAACCACTAATATTAACATAAAGAAAATTTGCCCTAAGAAACATTTAAGATATTTAACATACATGATGACCCTGCTAACATGAATTACGTTTAACAGAATTTACTCCTCATTTATTATAACAGGTTGAACGCCCCCGCAACTCCACACACAGCCTCACAAACTGTGGTCACACTGTCTGAATTTTGCAATTATTATTAGCAGACGACTCATAGCAACGGTGCATAAACAAATGTGAAGAAAAACGCTCTTCATTGATTGCCCATACCGAGTACTCAGCAGAACATTTTGAATTGTTGTTAGCCGTTAAGCAAAAGTGTAAAAAATGCCGCAAGAGCAGCCAACGGCGACTACGTCGCAGCAGCTCGATGACGAAATCGAAAATGTTCGCGTTGTTGTTCGATCCAGGCCGATGGACAAGAATGAGCTCGCCTCGGGTGCGGTGAGCGCCATCCAGGTGGATAATATCAATCGTGCAATAACCGTTATCAAGCCGAACGCCACAGCCAACGAGCCGCCGAAGACATATTACTTTGACAATGTCTTCGATGGTAACTCTAATCAGCTGGATTTGTATGTGGATACGGCTCGTCCGATTGTCGACAAGGTGCTGGAGGGCTACAATGGCACCATCTTGGCTTATGGGCAGACGGGCACTGGAAAGACATACACCATGTCCGGTAATCCGGACTCGCCACAGACCAAGGGCATCATTCCGAATGCATTCGCCCACATCTTTGGGCACATTGCCAAGGCTCAAGATAATCAAAAGTTTCTGGTGCGCGTCAGCTACATGGAGATCTACAATGAGGAGGTGCGCGATCTGCTCGGCAAAGACGTGAGCAAGAGCCTCGAAGTTAAAGAGCGTCCGGACATTGGCGTCTTCGTCAAAGATCTCAGCGGTTATGTGGTGCACAATGCGGATGATCTGGAGAACATTATGCGGCTGGGCAACAAGAATCGCGCTGTCGGCGCGACAAAGATGAATCAGGAGTCTTCGCGATCGCACGCCATCTTCTCCATCACCGTGGAGAGCAGCGAACTGGTCGAAGGAGGCATGCAGCATGTTCGAATGGGCAAGTTGCAGCTGGTGGATTTGGCTGGCTCCGAGCGTCAGTCAAAGACGCAGGCGAGTGGCCAGCGGCTGAAGGAGGCCACCAAGATCAATCTGTCGCTCTCGGTGCTGGGCAATGTGATCAGCGCTTTGGTCGATGGCAAGAGTACGCACATTCCCTATCGTAACTCGAAGTTGACTCGGCTGCTCCAGGACTCACTTGGAGGCAACTCGAAGACAGTGATGTGCGCTACGATTAGCCCAGCGGATTGCAATTATGTGGAAACCATTTCCACGCTTCGCTATGCGAGTCGAGCTAAGAACATACAGAATCGCATGCACATCAATGAGGAGCCGAAGGATGCGTTGCTGCGACACTTCCAGGAGGAAATTGCACGATTGCGCAAGCAGCTCGAGGAGGGTAACTTCGAGGAAGAACTGCTGCCCAGTGGCGAGGGCGAGGATGAGGAGGACACCTGTGACGATGAGCTTGAGGCGCCTTTAGATATTGAACTGGAGTCTGCGGCTTCAGCTGCAACCAGTCCCACTGGCAAGAAGATACGAAAGAAGCGCGAGAAGTCAGACAAGGAGAAGGAAGAGCTGGCCATGCGCAAGAGCCAGCATTTGCGTGAAATCGAACATGCCAAGACGGAACAGGAGCTGTTGCGCAACAAGCTCGTCTCGCTGGAAGGCAAAATTTTGGTGGGTGGCGAGAATCTCCTAGAAAAAGCGCAAACTCAAGAGAAGCTGCTGGAGCAGTCCATAGCGGAACTGGAGGAGCGCGAGAAATCTGAGCAAGCATTACGGCAAACACTTGAGCAGAAGGCCACCGAGCGCATTGACATCGAGGAACGCTACTCCACGCTGCAGGATGCCAGCACTGGGATCACGAAGAAGATCCATCGGGTCATGCAAATGCTGATGGGCGTTAAGTCCGAGCTGGCTGATCAGCAGCAGGAGCATCAGCGCGAGAAGGAAGGAATCTATGAGAACATACGCAGCCTCTCTCGGGAGTTGGCGCTTTGTGAGCTGGTGCTCAACTCGTATGTGCCCAAGGAGTACCAGTCCATGATAAATCAGTATACGTCCTGGAACGAGGACATTGGCGAGTGGCAGCTCAAGTGCGTCGCTTACACTGGGAACAACATGCGCAAGCACATCGAAGACAAGAACAGCGGCAAGGAGCCCGAATATGTTGATCTCTCTCACGTCTATCTCAGCTATAATACGGAAGGTGTATCCAATTCTATGGGCGCCAAGTCGGCACGTCCACGCACCTCGGGTGTGCCGCGTCCCACAACGGCGCGTCGCTATTGAAGCCATCAGTCTCTAGTCCAGATGCAGGACCAGCTCCCGCGTGTCCATTATCTGTTCGGATTTCGTGCACAATTTTGGTTTCTTTTGTTTCTGCTTTTGCTTTTTTATGCTTTGAAGTTCATTGCTCAGCGATTATCTGCTTTCAACTGTATTATATAATTTGTTATTAATTTATTTCATTATAGGTGTCTGCAGTAGTTACTATTCATATATTTTAGGTTGAACAACGGTGCAATATGTTTAATTTGTATGTAATTTTAATTTATAGTATCTCACTTAGCAATACATTTTTTATAAATAGTCACAGATGGCATAAGATAAAATGTGTGCTTTTGGCTTTTTAAATAAATTCATTTAGTACTCAAGTATTTTACTAATAAATGTACTTCTGCGTTTGGAATAAATAAAAAGTCTGGACGTGCTGAAAAGTGTGCTGTGGTTTTCGTTCTTTTCGAATTGTGGAAGAAAACTGAAATTTGGCTCGACACGTAACAACTGGTTCCATAGTGTAGCGGTTATCACGTCTGCTTTACACGCAGAAGGTCTCCGGTTCGATCCCGGATGGAACCATGTGGGTTTTTTTTTTTTAATTGAATATTTTTAAAAGCATAGCCATTGTTAGAAGTTTTTTAATAGAAAGCAATAAAAAATGAATAAGCAACTATTTAATTTAGAATATAATTCAATTAAACAACTTTTTATTATATTTGTATCTGTTAATATATTTTTTTAATATTTGAATAACTCTATTGGAATTTCTTTTCTAAATTACAATATAAAAAAATAAAAATTAAAATTAAAAAAAAAAAAAGAAACCCACATGGTTCCATCCGGGATCGAACCGGAGACCTTCTGCGTGTAAAGCAGACGTGATAACCGCTACACTATGGAACCAGTTGCAAACCGCTTGCTTATTTGATAATTTGAGATTCTGGAACGAGTTTTCGTTTATTTCCAAGGGATTATTTTCAAAATGTATATTCAGGAAGTTTGCACACAATTAAATTTAAAAATAAAAAACCAAAATACAAAAAAAAAAATAAAAATAAATAAATAAAAATAGATGGAAAGTAGGGAGAGAAAAAAGTGTCGTCACGTCACAAAAAGCATTTCAAGCAGCAAAAAGTTTTTTGTGTGGCTAGTTTGAAGTATACACAGGAAATCGAGCCATCAAGCTAAACAGAAAACATTTTTTTTTAATGCTGCTTCCACATTG